ATATGAAACATTTCCGCCGAGTCAAATGCTTTTAAAAGCTTGCTATTTTATCGCAGGCTATTTAATCTATATCTTTGGCCCTGTCTGCTAAGCTATGTATAAATTGTTCATTCTTTTCTTCGAAACACTCAGGGAAAATTTTGGCAAATGGTTATCAGAAAGTTTACACGAGAATCACAAGGCCAGAAAGTAATGACACCTGTCTTGAAAACTTATGTGGCGCTAACGATTGTCAGAACAAAAATAAATCAGTAAAACAAAGCAAACATTTATTGGCTTCGTAAAAAAGTCCTGCGCCCTGCCAAGACAGGATACAGAAAAGTAAGGCGTGTAAACTTAAGTGAAGACATATAAACAAATGAGGATCAAAACAAAAGTTGAATGTCTGCCTGACAGGCGACTAGTGAACACAAAAACAAAAAATACAAACAAGAAGAAAGTAGAATAAATGGAAAACGGAATATGCGTAGGTGTAGCAGTAAATTGTTGTGTTGAGCCTCCACACACATAAAACATCCAGTGCTTGTAGCAACAATTTCACATTGTTTACAATAGTAAATTTGCTTATGAGGTCGATGGGGCGGAGAGAGAGGAAAATCCGTATAATGAAATGACACGCCACACCTACAAATGACTTGAAACGGAAATGAGCGGGAATAGGCTGAGTTTAGCTTATTCTTTTTTGTTATTTAGTTGGTAGAAGAGGCGACGGCACAGCCTATATGGTGTTGGTTTATTTACGAATCCCATAAAGCTTGCATCATACTGACAAGGTAAAGAGGGAGAGGAACACAACGTGCGTACTGGAGCGCACATTAGAAGCTTGAATAAATATGGGTTAGGAAATTTATGTAGCATTGCACTTTTGGTATATGTAAGTATACTTTTTACTTTTTTTTTTCGCTTTAAATCAGCCAATGCAGTAAGTGGCAAATTGAATACACTAAAATTCAATGGTTTCACGCAGTAAATTCATTTTGTTGACCTCAAAATTATTTGGGCGCTTTTAACACAATTCGATTTTCTTTTGAAAGTTCCGGAAAAATTATTGATCGTTAAAAACGCGCATAAACATGAAGTACTCGCAGAGGGTAGCGTAGTTATTGAGTTAATAGCCTGGGAAGAGCACGAAATGCAAAGATTGAAGTTAATTTCAATTAAGCAATACATACATATTTTACTCATTATTAGTCATTATTTGTGATGAACAGCAGACGCCAATGAAAATTGAGTTTTAGTTAATGAAAAAAAAAGCTCAGATGCTTTTATTGAGCATCGGAGGAATGGCAGACTGTAGTTTTAATGCGCATTGATTTAATTCAGGTTAACTGGAATGTCATTGCTCTGCACATTGAAGCCAAGTGAATTCAAGAAACCTAGTCATTTCACATTATTTCATTTTAACAAAATTTGGTTTTTTATTGTTACTTGAGAATTTCATTAAATTAAATTTACATATATTTTCTAATAACAGTAAATATTTTTTGCAGCTACTTCTTCTTCTTCTTTAAGGCCGGAAGCACCGCTTACGCGATTATAGCCGAGTTAACAACGGCGCACTATTCCTGCTCTTCGTTGCTTGGGGCGAATTGGAAATACCAAGTACAGCCAGGACCTTCTCTACCTGGTCTTCTCAACGGGGTGGAGTTTTCCCTCTTATCCACTATACTAAATGACCTAGCCAGCTTAGCCGCTGTCTCTTGATTCGTTGAACAATGCTCAGGTCGCTGTGTATCTCGCTCAGCTCATCTCTTCGCCTACTGCAGTATTCGCCGTTTCCAACTCGTAGAAGTCTTACGGAAAACCTTTCTCTCGAAAACCCTTAACACTGACTTTGGTATTTGTACGTCGGGAAAGTACTTTACTCTTAAATTGCCTCAAGTCCAAAGTAGCACCTGTTGGCAAAAGTGATTCTGCGTGGATTTCAAGTCTGGTTCCAAGAAAGACGAAATTATTTACGACTAAAAAGATGTGGCTGTCAACAATATCGCCGGGTCTCAAATGTGATGACTATTTGTTCATCGGCGTACGCCAGCAGATGTACATTCTTATAGAATATTGTTTCTTCTCTATTTGTATATTCAAAAACATGTCTTAACGCACAAGCCTAGCCTTAATTTCTTCCATTTCCACTTTTACTAAAAGAAAACAACAGCTGATTTCGTGCCGCCCTCTGCTAGAGTTGCCTGGTACTCAAGCTATAACTCAAGTGTCGTCTCTACAACAATTAACGCATTTAATGCTTTTAACAACAAGTACACGCATAAGCTTCAGCGCCAACTAAGAAAAGCAACAACTGTATTTATAAAAAAAAAAAAACTATACACTATTCATTCCAACAGTGCATGTGAACGTATTAGGAACTAGAGCCCAACTAGATGGGTATTCCTGCACCACTGATGAAGACGTTCTTCAGCAGTTAAGTAGAGCGCAGCGAAGAGCGTGCCAACAAACCACTGTGCATGCAACAAGAGCACACCAAGTGGAGGGAGCCACAAGACATGAGAGGAGCATGGCCGCAGTGGTGTTGATAAGTGTTATCCATCTATATATTGTAAGTATATATATTTACATATACAGCCACTCACAGCAACTGAAGTGTAACTTTACATATCACTAACGAACACTAGGCAAACCACATATAGTACACACATACGTATACAGTATACACTCAAATACGTATAAAACGAAGTTGCACAAAAAGTTGGCGTAGCAGCAGTCCGCGACTACCTGTCGAGTGCTAGACCCCGCCGTTCAACGCCGATGTTGAAGTTTTGTTGCATACCTCAGGGGTTGGGAGAAGTATGTACAATAAAAAAGAATCACTGCATACCACAAACACAACAACTAAAATCACTGAAATTCAAATAAAAGCATGCGCTGTTCACGTGCTTCTGGGTGCCGTAGTAATAATGGGGCGAGCCTGTAAGAAATGTCAGTAAGTTGGCGAGTTTTGTTTGCGATTAAACCGCCTTGCATACTTTTGGGCGTAACTTCAATATAATTTTTAATACACTTGGGTTTTTGAAGTCCTTTTCAGTGTTCGAGATCATTACGAAACTCTTGCTCTTCCAGCATCTTGTTCTCTTTATTTTTCGAAAATTGCGAACACTCACTCCTCATGTTGGCACATGTTTCCCATTTTCTTGGGGCCACTCACGCTGCCTTTTGGCGGTACGTGGCACACTTTTCACTATTTTACCCGCTCAATCGTTCACTCGTTACTCGTTACTCGCTAAGTTCTCTTGCTACCAAAAAGGCGCGTTACAACCGCGTACACGTCCTTCGAGTGTCGTATCCTGCGGCAAATAGACTCATCCAAGGCGTGACAGGCAACAGCTTAAGCTGACTCGCACCACATTGAAGTTTCGTGTGCGCTCCACTCATGCCCAACGGGGCGCAGAAGATTGGGGGCGGCTGTATGAGGAAACATTTCGCAATTTAATTGTGTGTCGCCTCAACGCAAGAACATCATCATCACCAGCCAGCGCCGCAGCAACAAACATTTCATGAACCTTTTCTCACACAGTGTACGCGTGTATTTTGCTGTATGAGGGTTAGGGAAATGCCCAGTGGACATATGGCACACCCATATTGACGAACGTGTTTATGTATGTATACTTATGTTTACGACTGTGGTAGGCGTCCTTCGCACCTTCGCCATGCCATTTTCTGTCATTTACGGAAAATGAGATAAAGCAAACATCACCAACTTCGTCGTCATCACAACAACAGCAACACCAACACGATCTGGCGAGCGGTGTGCCAGCAAGTCAAAATGAAGTCACATGCAAAAGAGTCGCTTTGTCACATTGCCACAGTGAACCAGTGTGGCTTGCCTCATACCAACTGCCAAGTCCACTCATCCCCTTCGCCTTGTTCCCGTGTTGGTGGAAACCACATTGTGTTTAGAGTGAATTCAGCAGTGTCACATATACATACAAGTGTAGTTATAATTTCAAAGACACAAACAAACATACAATACATTCAAAAGCACCACATGGACATACGTGCCTTCGGTTCTCTAGGACGTTTGCGGCGCTGGGTGTGCCTTAAATTTCGTCGAAAAAGCTACTTCAATTCATCACTTTATGACTATCGCGTTTTATGAGTCAAAAACAAACATACCGAATTTTAAGTTTCAAACTTTTAAGATTGGAAAAATCAGTAGCAAACTTAAAAAGTATCCATTCCACTTACTAAGTGCATGTGTTGACCCTAACCTGATCGAAACGTCCTGGAATACAACTTGCAATTACAATTAACAGCATTCGCCGGTAATTGCTCTGTAGCCCCTCAACAACCCTGACCTCCTCTCCTACTTGTCTCTCGACTACGCCTTGTGTCTTAGAAAATTTCTGATTAGTTTTAAACAAGCCCAATTGACGACGGAAAAACGAAGAATACCCATACAAACATACACTTATGTAGATAAGTAAACAACAAATTACAATCAGTGAAAAAGACATGCTGGACAGTGGGTAGGATAGACGGACTTCCATCAATAATTTGTAACTAACAAGCATTCATTACGACGGCGGAGGCAAATTGCGTCAAATGTTTGTATGTAAATATTTATTCGTGGAAAATTTTAAACTATGTACGAGTATGTGACTAATGATCGAGTTCTTTCAGCTGGAAATAACATCAAATTACTTATTTAAAGTAATAGAAGGAAGGCAATCGGACAGATTTGAGGAGGAAAAGTAGGCTTACAGACGAAAAAACCGAAGAATACGGTACTCATAAAAGGACACGTAAAGGGGAAAACTTCGCCTATGCATTACGGGAGGTAAAAACTGTACTCTGCACCTTCGTTTAAACGGATATACAACACATATCGACAGAAAATAGCTTTGTCTTTAAATTGCTTTTTCTCCGTGCTCTTGAGAGGCACATAAATACCTACATACACGTATGTACCGTTATTCAATTCTTATTTGCTTGTAGTACTACATATCAATAAGTATTTTTTTTTTATGAATTTATATTGTACTTACGCCATTTTGTGTATCTTTTATTCCTTGGTTAGAAGTAAGAGACCTTGCTGGAGCGCTGCGCTTCCCTTATTTGCTACAGATGTCTTCTAATAAAATCGAGTTCACTACTCTTCGCCTAGTACATTCGAGTCAATGTATATTTAGATATATTTTATATTGTTAGTTGTTGTCTTCAAAATGCACTTTCGTGTGCAAAACTCCCGTGATTATATATATTTATATTATATATATATATGTAAATATAAATATTTAAATGCAGTTAGAGGCGTTGGTTCTGAAACTACTGGTGTTTCGAATGCAAGTCTTTCCGTCTTCAGTTGATTTAAGTTAAAACGCTAAGCTGATTATACTACGTTATATTTATATATGTATGTATGTATCTATGTGTGTATTTATTACGACGAAGTAAGAATCCGTTACGCGCTTAGTAGATGTAGTTTCAACTATTATATTTATGAGATCTGCAAGAGAGAAGAGAACTTAACGTTAGCAAGTTTCCAAAGTAAGACAGAACCCAAATTCAAATAAAGGAAAGAACATAAATGACATGACATTTGCTTTGCCTTAAACAATGCAAACGCTAGTTAAATATGCCCAATGTTTGCTTAAAATATGAACTCAAATCGCAAATATTTGTCTGGTTTAGCTCGAGTTTCTCAAAATGCTTGAAAATTCCCGCCTAAATCCTTAAAAAATCAATAAGTAAAGAAAACCAACAACCAGCAAACAACCTGGATGGCAGTTCAGAAGCTCCGCGTGTAGGATTAATACCAACAAAAAACCACTCAGGAATGTTTAACGGACAAGCGTACACGTAGACTAACAAAAAAAAACCGGAAATGCAAAGAAAGGTGAAGGAAAAATCAATGAATTCGCTCGCTTACACACCACACGTTTTCTCAGCCCACAAGAGCTGCACTCAAGTATACTCAATATGCTTGCTTAAATGAAAGTGTAGGTAGGAAGAGCGATTTTTTTACCTTTTTTCAGATTTCCTTGCGCCTTCATCGATTTCCACTATTGAGTCGAATAAAATGCTCGGTTGATGGCAGTGAAGGAAAAATCCTCAGAGACGTGGTAGAGGAAGCCAAGTAAAAGCAAAGAGTTTCCAGCAGCACGCGAATGAACGAATGTATGAGATTCCACAACCAGGGTGTGGGTGTGCGGGAAGTCAGTAATGGGGAGATGGAAGCGAGCGGGGACTAGTACCTGAAGTGTTGTGAAGTCATAGCAAACCGCATCACAAAAACAAAAGCAAGAACGCTTTATATTCATCAAGTCGAAGAAAACAACATAGTGCAGAAGCCATGCTCGTACCTTTGTTGTAAATTTGTTTGTTTTCAAACAGTTTTGCAGGGCATTAACCTGTGAACTTTATGCGATCAGCTGTCAGATGCGTTTATCAGGCATGAAATTAGAATGCGAAAGCGAATGGGATCGAGAATTTAAAAAAGATAGCAACTGTAACTATAGAATTAAAAACAAACCTGAGTACCTGGAAATTTAATCCAAACTTAAAAAAAGGTGGCAACTCTGCTGAACTTTGCTCAAAAAGAGTACATATAAAAAGATGATGCCATTTACTTTAATCTTGAGACAAGTGGCATCAGCTCCTTAATGTTCCATGAAATCGGTATTGGCTACGAAAATTTGCATTCATTATAACAAGCAGGAATAATAAGGTGACACAAATTAACATTAAAATAAATTCTGGATGAAATTGGGTTAGGTTACAGTGGCTGGCTGATGCGCCTTACATAAAACACATTGGTCTTTTATACATAGTGCCAAATTTAATGCGATATGAAGTAGACGTCGTAAAGAACATTTTCGCGAAGTACAAGTTATACCAACAACTGCCCTACAGTCCTTAAGCGAATGTGTAAGCTGCTGCTGCTTTCGCACATGATTTTGGTGTTTTTGCATTTCGCGTTCCTACTCAATTTGAGCCGGCAACCAGATTTTCGGAAATTTCCTTTTAGATCATTTTTAACGAGTTGTGCCCGAACCTTGTAGATTAAGTTTTTGCTGAGCAGAAATACATAATTATATATGATCCTTACGGTCTAGGAGAATAGTGGCGGTTTTCTAACTACGCCAGTTGTTGTTACATATAAACAGCTTTTGAGTTTATTTACAAGATTGCTTATTTATCTCATTTGACTTAATATCTAGGTAAGAAGAGCCCCGAAAACTATGACAACAGACAAAAGTTCCTTATGATTTTCGTTAGAAAGTTTACAGTTAAACGTTTGTACATGTAAGAATGTGTGTATATACATATGTATACACATATGCTCGCTTCGTTTCTATTTCTGACATGTTATAAACTTTGACAGGAAACTGCATTGCAGTCGTGTCCTTCGTGCACCGAGGATATGCCCTCAATTCCCGTTTTCTTTTTTTTGTTTATTTCCTGAAGAAAACAAGCGCATTCGCTGAGCTTTCGATTTACATCAGACACCGCCGCAAAATAATTAGCGTTTACCTAAATGTGAGCTCATGCAAACCCAAGCTGGAAATCCATGCTTACATACATACGCATACTCTAGCAAAATAAATTCCAAAAATGGGATCCTACAAATTTCTTCGACAAGACAGAAGTTCAAGTAAATGCAGCAGAAACTGAGTGTCAACTGAGAGAAAAATGCATGCTGATTTTGTAAGCACAAAGTCATAAAAGTCTAAACTGGTGTGTTTTCGCTATTGCAATAGTGAGAAATAAAAATTTGCTGGCAATAAATAAGACTCGCATATACTCGTAAAGAGGCCTATCTTTCGCTTACCGCACAAATGCACTTGTTTATGTTTATACATATATACATATATATATATATATATATGTATTAAAATATGTATTTTATGCACTTGCTCTATGACGAACCAAAATCTTGCAACACCAATAACAAAAGCAACAACATCAATTATCAATATGTATAGCTGAACAAAGTCTTTGGAAAACTTACAACACAAAAGTAGGTCACCGCAGCCTGTGTAAGGCAGTCGAATCAAACCAAGGCGACCAAATGTGCGAGATCTGGGGAAGTAATGGAAGTACATTTACAATAAGAGATGCATACATACATACATACATATGTACATACATATATGTGTACGCACATAAAAAATTTGTATATATTTTCCTTTCGGCTATGCTTGAAAAATTTTACATGAAAATTTACGTAATGCCTGAAGAGAGAGAGCAGAAAATATGCATTATATGTAAACAAATTCTTGTGTGAAATTTCAGAACTCCTGAAATAATAGTTTTTCTAAAAATTAATGGATATCTTTCTCCGTCACTGGCAAAGACACCGTTTACACGATTAAAGCTGAAATAACAGCTTCCAATAGCGCTTACAGCAGCGTATGCGCTGCGGTAGTCGCTGTTCCCAACGCACAGAGGACCTATTTCAAGCAATAAATTAAAGAAATCACACTATACGGAGTGACCTTGTCTGAAACCTCGTTTGGTATTGAATGGTCCTTCTCGATGCTGACGAAACTTTTGATGTCCCTCAGCGTCACTTACACCGCCGAATAAGAATGCGGGGATACCAACTGCAGAAGAGGCAGTTCCTTTTCGTGTTGGCAGAAGAGGATATATGTAAATGTATGTATATCGATCATCTTTTTACGGGTCTTTCTCAAGGTGAATATGCTTTTTTACTGTCGGCTTAAGTCTTTCACACAATAAGATCGATATTTAGGAGGCTTTCTCTACGGTAATTGCCACAGACTGGGGGAGCAGAGTTTTTATGGACTGGGCAGAGCACACATAGGTTTCAATCGCCATATTTTGCAAAGAAGCTGATCCATGAATATAAATACAGATAATAATAAATTTAAAATTAGAATTTAACTGAAGTCAAATTGGCACGAAAAATTTCAGCGTCGAAAATTATTTTCAGCATCTGTCTTCAGATTGGTGTATCGGAAAACATGTACATACAAACATTTTTCAAACAAATCAGAAAAAAATAATGTTCAATACGTTACTCCAACGACCGAGAACAGGAAATATCTCAGTCGCTCACATTTGGTGCATAACTTTTCAATACCGATTTATGGTAGTTTCGCTTTAGTATTAAGAAGATTTTACAAAGTATTAAAAAAATATATTCCAAAAAATCTTCCAAGTACATTTTTAAAAAATAGTTTTTGCTTCTAAGTACGTATAAATTGTCCATCTATGTCTATATTTCTATATGTCTATATGTATGTAGAATATATCGTAGATATGTCAGTAATTACAAATCACGTGCATATGTATTGTACAAACGCACGTACACGTATCTACATACACGTATCCTTGTTGACGTCATTGCCACCATTGACTTTTGCCATTCTCATTTGATTCTCATATTCCGCTCATGGCGTGCAAGTAATACTGGTCAATTATCAATTTTACATTTTAGTAATCCTATAGCATTCTTATATGTGTACATATCACATAAATGACACAAACGTATAGACATTTTATGACACCATTGTTTGCCAACCGGAAGTGCTTTAGAGGGTTAAAAGCGAAATTTAAACTCTTGGGCTCCTCCACCCATTGTTTCCAGTACAAATTTCATAGAATTCGCACACAAGTCACATATCTACAATACATGGCAGCACGTAACTAAAGCGCAGTTAGTTTGCTATCCGTACTTTTGCAAGGAAACCCTAAAACACTGAAACTGGGTCTTATTTCACATATTCCATTACACTAATAACAATACAATGCCATAATACGATGTAAATAGCAATAAAAAGCAATGTATTGTATATACATATACATATAGACGTATACCAACGAGAAGCATATTAAAACGATACGGAAGAACTGCAGACCTAAAGAACTAAGCAAGCGCGTAATCGCCTATCACCAGTGCGCTCCTCATCGCTCGTCCTCACTTCATGTAACTCACACGCACGACACCGAAAACCTCCGATGTGGGATGTTTTCGGTCTCGCGTTGGAAGGGTGGTTTTGATAAATTCATCGATTGATTTTTCGGACTCTCGTCTCGTACTCACCGCCGCCGACTAAGTTTCTTCCTTATTTGCATTTCGTGTGATAAATAAAAGGCCATAGGCGTCTGTCAATGAGCATTCATAAAATGTGACAAACACGATGTCCCCACACTAACCCACCACTCTCCTTCCCACTTGCCCACAAACACCGATGCATACACCATACACCAAAGCCGCGCTGAATAATCTTTGTTTGTCCGTCTGGCCGGCGGTCAGCTGAAGCTAGCAAACAGTGGTTGATATCGTTGACAGTAACTGCGACAGGCGCCACATTTGAATTGGTGGTTCGGTTGTGTCGTTGATATCTTTTGGCTACGACGGAGCGAATATTGGTGTTGTTAAAGTTGATTGGTCAGTTGGTTGTGAATTGTTTGCTTGCACAGCTTAATTAAGCGGCAGGTGTTGCCTCCATGAAAAATATATATTGACTATTTAATAAT